CTCCTCCGCCGCCGCCGTCGCCGGCGGCGACGTCGGATCCCCCGACCAGATCCTCCTCACCCTCCTCCAGCAGCGGAAAACCGACGAGGCCTGGCAATATTACACCCAATGCCCCCACCTCCCGAGCGCCGCCTGCCTCAGCCGCCTGGTCTCCCAGCTCTCCTACCTCAACACGGCGGAGGGCCTCACCCGTGCTCAGTCCATCATCCAACGCCTCCGCCTCGAGCGGCAGCTCCACCGTCTCGACGCCAACTCGCTCGGCCTCCTGGCGGTGGCCGCCGCCAAGGGCGGCCACACCCTCTACGCCGCCTCCATAGTCAAATCCATGCTCAAGTCCGGCTACCTTCCCCATGTCAAGGCGTGGAGTGCCGTGGTTAGCCGGCTCTCCTCCTCCGGCGACGACGGCCCAACTGAAGCCCTTAAACTCTTTCATTCCGTCACGAAAAGGGTCCGCAGGCTTCAAGATTCCGAGCTCGATGAAAATTCGAGACCCGATACAGGTGCTTACAACGCTGTCCTCAATGCCTGTGCTAATTTGGGCGATGTCAAGACATTCCACCAACTGTTCGATGAAATGCCCCAGTTCAAATGCGAGCCGAATATCTTAACGTATAACATCATGATCAAATTCTTCGCTCGGGTCGAGAGGAAGGACCTGCTCGTTTACGTTCTCGAGAGAATAATCCAAAAGGAGATACCGATTTGCTTGACGACTTTGCATTCTCTTGTCGCGGCTTATGTCGGTTTTGGCGATTTGGAGACTGCCGAAAAGCTCGTTCAGGCAATGAGAGAAAAAAGATTAGACCTTTGCAGGATTTTGAGGGATTCTTGTTCAAATGATTCGTACTCTGATAACTCTGATGATGACGATGATGATGATGATGATGACGACGAGGAAGAGGAGGAGGATGAAGTAATAAGGCACGAAAATGACTTATTCGTAAAACTACTACCAAATTACTCGATCGATCATGATTATGACCCGCCGCCCGATTTACCTAACCCGATAACACCCGACACTAGAATCTACACGACTTTAATGAAAGGCTATATGAAAGTTGGTCGAGTGGCCGATACGGTTAGAATGCTCGAGGCAATGAGTCACCAAGAAGACACTCTTTCCCATCCGGACCACGTGACTTACACAACCGTAATATCCGCATTCGTAAAATCCGGTTCGATGGAAAAAGCTCGGCAAGTGCTCAAAGAAATGGCCCGAATCCAAATCCCGGCGAACCTCGTGACTTACAACATTCTCCTCAAAGGGTATTGTCATCAACATCAGATCGACAAAGCCGAGAGTCTAATTCATGAGATGGTTGAGTCGAAAATCGAGCCTGACGTGATTTCTTACAACACGTTGATCGACGGATGTATACTGGTGGACGATTTTTCGGGGGCATTTACGTACTTCAACGAGATGCGAAAGCGCGGGATCGCGCCCTCGAAAGTGAGCTACACGACTTTGATGAAAGCCTTCGCCACGTCCGGCCAGCCGAGGCTGGCCGGACGTGTCTTCGACGAGATGTTGCGGGACCCGCGCGTGAAAGTCGACTTAGTCGCGTGGAATGTGTTGGTCGAGGGTTATTGTAAGCTCGGTTTGGTGGACGAGGCGAAAGGGGTTATTCAAAAAATGAAGGAAAACGGGTTTTTTCCGAACGTGGCAACTTACGGTAGTCTAGCGAACGGGATAGCTATAGCGAGAAAACCGGGTGAGGCTCTTTTGCTATGGAAAGAGGTGAAAGAGAGATGTGGACCCGAGAATGAAAAGATTCCGGCTTTGAAACCGGACGAGGGGCTTTTGGATGCTTTGGCGGATATTTGCGTGAGGGCGGCTTTTTTTAGGAAGGCTTTGGAGATTGTGGCGTGTATGGAGGAAAACGGTATATCGCCGAATAAGACTAAGTATAAGAGGATTTATGTGGAGATGCATTCGAGGATGTTTACGAGTAAGCACGCTTCGCAGGCAAGGAAAGATAGGAGGAAGGAGAGGAAAAGGGCGGCCGAGGCTTTTAAGTTCTGGTTAGGGCTGCCGAACGAGTATTATGAGAGCGAGTGGCGACTCGACCAGGCACGAAGATGAATGATAAGAAGTTATGCAAAGAGTGGTGTAGTTGTTGAGAAGATTATATGTGTAAGTTAATGTGTGATTTTTAATCTTTCAGTTTGTAGGTTGTTTGCCTGTATGAAATTGTGGCCATGATGATCTGATCTGAAGCTGAGATATTGTAATGGTGAAATCAAAATACTGTAAGACTGTAAGACAAAATTTAACTGTATTCTAAAATTAGTTTATGTTTGAGGCCATTTGGTGCAAGGTTGTGATTTATTCTCTTGACATGGTCTATTGCATTTTGCTGTTTTTCCTTTTTTCTTTTTTTTTTTTGGGCTAATAATATAGAAAGCAGTTTTAAGATTTAGACAGGAACATAATCTAACAAGAGTAGAATATTTTCTGAGAATGAATAGCCCAGAACAATTTGATGTGCAAATTATAAACATGCCCATAATAAATCATCAATCGCTGGTTGCAAATGAATAACTCAAGCCATTGCTTTGCAGAAGTTCTTATACCAGCAAAACAATTTAATACTTCAATTAAAATTAAATTTTCACACGGCCTCAAACAAATGCCTCCAAGACATTTCTGTAAATAAAATTCTTGAATTCTTGCTTCTGTAAATGTCAATACACATTACACACTGCAGAATATCTGCTTAATCTAAAACAAAATAAAAAAATATATCTGCGTAATCTAAAAAAAAAACAAATGATTGAACTATATTCACGAGCAAACAGACTCAAAAATCACAAGACAGCATCTGTTTTTTTCACCTGCAATCCCACAAGTTATAGAACAACATTCTACTTGACATAAAACAAGAACCACCACGTAATTTTAGTCAAGCGTACCATAGTCGAAATTTCATAGCGTTTATAAGCTATAAATTGGGTGGCAAATGAATAATGTGAAACTCAAGTACAACTCTTGTACATAAAGCTAATAAAAAACGAGAATATCGTCCACAGAATTGAATAAAAACATTAGGACAAATTCACCAAAATCGAAAAACCCAACCAAACTCAGCTCAGCTACAAAAGAAACAACAGAAAAGCTTAAGACCTAGGCTTTTCCTTCTTCTCCTTGAAAAGAGCCAAAAGTGAAACTCCAGACACTTTCACCACCTTAAACCTAACACCGGGAATATCTCCCACGGCATGCCCCTTTCGTCCAAATCCGGCAATTAAAACCTCATCCTGTAAATTAGACAACCAAGTTTCATCAACTTGTTGAAAAAAAAAAGAAAAAAAACAAAAATAGACATTTGAATTTTTTTCAAGTCAGTAAAAAGTGATAATTACAAGAACTCACGTTTTCCTCAATATAGTTCAAACAACCGTCATTAGGAACAAAAGCAGCAATCTTTTTCCCGTTCTTGATCAGCTGCACACGAGCACATTTACGGATAGCAGAGTTTGGTTGCTTAGCCTCGATACCTCTGTGCAAATTATATATATGGATATATATGTATACTAAGATTACTAAACAGAAAAAACAAACACTTGGGATGACTGTAAGAAGCCCAAAGAATAATGGGAGGGGTAAAAAAGTCCACATTTTCTCATAAAGAAAAAAACGAACACTTGGGATGGCTGTAAGAAGCCCAAAGAATAATGGGAGGGGGAAAAAATCTCACATTTTCTCGAGCACAATTCCCTTAGCATGAGATGAACCAGCAAATGGCTTCTTCCACTCATTACCCAGATGAGATTTCTTGTAAGCCTTATCGGCCCATCTTTGCCTAATGCGGTGGGACTTAAGCTTGCGCCCAGCTCCCATACCACGTGTCTTCCTATTAAATTGTAGAAGAAAAACACAAAATAACCTCTTAATAAAGGGCATTAATCAAACTAACCATGGATTGTTTATAATTGCACAAAATGCATCATAGGAAAATAAAAATATCTAAACTAAGGCTTTTCACACTATCACCATAGCACAAGCCATTACTGGAGCAATAGATCAATCACTTGTTTTTAGTACTAAACAGGAATTTTCAAAGAGACAGAAATGAGAACAAAAAAAGTCTGAAATTTTAAAGAACACGCCTTCATTCAGTTTCTCATTCTATGCAAGCACCTAACACAAATTGTACGATTGCCCCAAATATACCCAATCGGATAAATTCATTCCAATCATTTGAGCTGACCAGCGAACAGTATCAAATATTGAAAATCAAAATGATAAACGTCATCGTGTATTCATGGTGGCTCAAAAATACGCACTACAAAAACACAAAAAGATATTAAAAGAAAAAAAAAGGTAATTTATCGACGTACCCCATGACTTCAGAGTTGATGAGCCGAAAGGAATGAGATTATGGCAGAGGAGAAGCAATCCACAAGTGACACTGTGACTGTGAGAGCCGCCGAATGTGTAGGTGTAAGAGCCCTAATTCAAGTATTCAACCATCAAGAAATGTGTTGGTTAGTGACTTCGTAGTGAGGTTCAAAAGTTTGGGCCTGTATGAATTAGTACCTCATCTGGGGGCCCGTTTAGTTGGGTGTATAACTCCAATTATGGGCTGGAAACTTGGCCCAATTTATCTAGTCAAGAGTCACCACTCATGATTGAAGAATCTGATACGATCACCTTAATCCTTAATTTGTGTGTTCACAATTATGCAATTCTTCTGCATCTTTCTGCATTATGTTTTTAATCAGAACTAATGCCAATTATTAACCAATGTTTTCTTCTCACATGTTGAGTATTACTCGAATTTTTGTATGATTATGAAGAATAAAATGATCATAGATGAAATCATTTTTTCTTTGATTAAGAGGGAGATTTTTTTTTTTTTTTTTTTTNCTATCTCTTTTGGATAAGACTTTTTTTTCTACAATGATTGTGGTCAAGTATATATATGGCCTAACATGTGGACAAGAAAAAATAAGGAATAAAATAATACAAATGGTATATAATGTGATGTGACCGCGTGGAGCCTAATTATGGCACTTGACGCCTTCGGTAGAAGCCTGTCTTGTCGGCAATGAATGCGTCCTGTGAAGACGGCTTCTTCATGGTATTCGGACCGTCGGCCAGTAGAGTTTTTTCCTGTCCTGTATTATATGAGCTCAATATTTGAGGATTTGTTCATCATTTGTGGTCTGAGCCACCTCGGGAATAATCGAAGTCGATCGGGAATGAACCTGATCGATATCTGGAGTTCAATTCGGAAAACGTGTTGTTTATACGCTCTTATTTTCCCATATGTTACTTATTTATTATCCGTGACCAAATTGGTATCAAGAAGTTGTTATTTGAATCGAGCTGCTTAAAAATATAACTCAGTTCGTCTCATAAAAGTTCAAGCCCAACTCAATTATCTACTTAAACGAGCCAAAATCTAACAACTAAAATTCGAGCCAAGGCGAGCTCATTCATTCATTTATTTATTTGTTTAGGCTTTCAACGATTCGTTAACGCACAAATCCTGTTCCTATATAAAACGTGTTTGTAATTTAGGGTTTGTTAAACGACCCAAGCTGAGTCGTCTCATATATTAAATGAGAACGTTCTCAATTACAAAGTGCTCGACTCTGCAATTCCAATAACACCCTAGGGATGAAAACGATCGGGAACGATCGGCATAGGGCTCAACCATTTTCACTTTCATATTTTTTTCTCGAAAACGAAAATGATACGATAATGTCGGAAACGAAAACGACATCGGTATTCCGGTAATATCGAAAACGAAACTATCTGATCGAAAAAACATCGATAACGATCGGAATATATTAAAACGGTATTTAAAAAACGATAAACACACCACATTATAAAATATAGCATTAAAACATAAATTGAAATATTCTCACGGTATAATAGTGGCAAAATCCAAATTAAAATCCACACCATTTGCTATAACAAAATCCATACAAATTCCAATAACTAGCAATTGAATTGTGACTTGTCCATCAAATTCTCATGGAATAATAGTAGCAATTGAAATTTGAAACATGAAATGGGAGCAATTAGGTGAGAAATCAACCATGGAACCACCAAATCCACAAAAAAACCACAACAAACGAAATCCAGAATCCAAAACACAAATCACTATTGCCGTGAATTCAAAGTGGGGTAGGCGGCGGCAGCTGGAACCTGTAGCGGGTGGTGCGGTTGCGACGTTGATGGGAGTGGGGCGCGGCGGCGACGAGCAGGTGACGGGAGTGACGACGAGCAGGCGCGGCGAATTGCGATGGCCGTCGGCCGATGGAAGAGATGACAGGGTTGGGCTGAAGGGGATTTCAGGATTTCGAGAGTGAAGACCGAAAGGGGTGAAGGGGATTTGGGCATTTGGCCCATTTGGGATTTGAATTGGGCTTTATAATTAAAAGTGAGCCTAGTATGAGTTGGGCCGGTATTACCGACGGTAAAATACCGTTTAAATACGGTAATTTTCGAAAACGATCGGAAAAAGGGCTAAATCGTTTTCGTTTTCGAATTTTTTTACCGTTTTCATTTCCGTTTTTCCGGTTACCGTTACCGTTTCCGTTTAGCCTCCAAATCCAAAAAAATTTCGAAAACGATTCTCGGTAATCGGAAATTACCGTTTCCGTTTTCATCCCTATAACACCCTTACTTGCATTGATCAATTTGACAAATATTCATCATTGGGCATGATATTTTTCAAATTATTGGAAATTGACCCTTGAAAGGCACAATGTGGTTACAGGTAGGCCACATTTTAGTATTTATTGATGTATTTATGTTTTAGGTTAAATCTCGAAACAAATATATATAAAAAAAATATGAAAAAATATGTCCAATTAATTGCATTTTAGTCCAACTTTTCACCCCAGAGCCCAGATAGACTTTGAGTAGAATTTCATCAAGTATATCAAATTTATATTGAAATTAGAACAGGAAAAAAACACAGCAATAATGCTCTAAATATGATTTCATTAAATTTACCAAATAAACCATCAAAATAATAATTAAAATAGAAAATCTCCTGTAGGCATGAAAGTCTCATGGCCAACCAAGTTGATGGTAATGGCAAAATGATCAAACATTGTTTGCTATGCTTTAAAGCTCTGAATCTGAACAAGAACCTTTCTATTGATGAGCAACATACAAATTAGCTGCAACCCAACAAGATTAAGACAATTATACATTACAAATAATAATAATAATAATAATAATAATAATAATTAAAAGGAAAAAATCAAAGACGACAAACATCGGTGGAGAGAAGATATAACTACATATCAAGATGTAAAGAAAACTTTGTAAGGCAACATATAAACTACATTACATTCATGGAACCAAATTTCGAGAAGCAATCTTATCTCCTTGAAGAGTTATCTTCCAGCAATCGGCTTGCAGCACAAATACCGAACCCTTTTTCGGCACCACTGCAGATAACGAGCCGACCAGGTCACACAAAGAACAATCTCGAATATTATATTTTGTGAAAGAAAATGCATTCAAATAACATCATTTTATAGAAAAACTTGCAGTAGACAGTTGAGCAATTTAAGGTTGTAAAAAGAGAAGAACAAAAAACATATCGATCAGTTGATAAACCATTACCTCGGAATTTGTTATCTTGAGTGATGATTCCTAATGTTTCTTTAGTTTCTCGTATCATAATGCCATGTATTCCAAAATAGGCAGCTATTTTACACTGAACAACTACAAAGAGAAATAGCAGTATGAGAAAATAAATTAGTGATGTAAGTAGTAGCTTACTATATCTGCTCTTCCAAAGAAAAAAAATAAGAAGAAAAGAAAATAAACACCTAAAAACAAATGTTGGGATAAATCATGACAGAATATAAAACTCCCGCATGGCCTAAGGGCTTGTTTGTTATTAATTTACCAACAAATAATCTAATCTAAATTTAAAATCTAACTCAACTTAAATTCAACCCTACTATCCTCAATATTATCAACATAATTAAATAATATCAATCAATCATCTTTACACATCACATCAACTTTAATTCACTATTCATCATCATCCACTCATTTTAAATATTATTTTAGTATCCCACTAAAAACTAATCAAACTAACTTTTTTCAAAATTAACCATGGTTAACCAAAAAAATCAATAAAAAACTGGTTTATTTGTATAAAAAAAGAAAGAGTATAAATTTTTTAACCTAGAATTACAGCCCCATGCAGATCAGCATTGAGAAAACACTGTGCCAACTGATCTTTCCTGCAGAGCAATCAAAAACTCATAAAATTCTCAATTAATAAATGATAAAAACGATTAATAAATAAAGCCAACCTACTCACCCAACTAGTTTCAGAAGCTGTGTTATATAGGCTTTCCACTTCTCATGCATAGGCTTAAAGATTTCAAAGCTGAAAAACATTTAAAGAAAAATAATATATAGAGGAGTTAGGAACCTTAGCAGATATGCTAATAAACGAGAAAACCGGCAACTGCATAAATACACGAGCATGATATGTGAATGTCACATTTTTCAAATTACATATATTGCAAGTTTAACCGTTTGAGGATCATAATAGCAGCATCTTATTTACAAAATTGTTGAAATGCAATAAGTAACGGCATCCCCATAAGGCAAGAACTATAATTCTAAATTCATAGAACTTCCTAAAACGAAATAGTGGTATGAAAAAGTGAACAGAATCAGGTACAAAAACGCATGGGGGCAAAGCAAAATGAAACTTAAAGATCCATAATGAACTTATGAACTCACTTATGGAACTCTTTAGGCAAATCAAATGATCCACACTTCTTATGTTGCTTTAGAGACATGTGCTTTTTAGAGCGTTTTGACCCATTCTGTAGCGATCGACCACTGGACATGCCGCTTTTTTGGATAAAATTATCAAGAAGTATCGTATTCTCAATTTTCAAGGTTTTAGACCCCTGCATGTACTTCTGAGCAGCATCACCATGCTGAAGAAGCTCGTGCAATACTCGATTAACTATGGCTTTCCCATCAGAAACCTGCATAATCAAGTAAATGGCTTAATCGTATTTAACAATGAGTTTCTAGTTAAGCAAACACTGAATAACTCAAAGTAGAAAAAGATTAAGTTGAGAGAGTGACCTCAATACCATTTGGAAGCAAGTTTTCGTGTACGGGGTGAGAAATCTTCGAATACGCGGGTTCATTTACATCCACATCTGTGAAATTGTATAGATACAATATATTTAACCTTCAGTATAAGTATAGAGTAATGTCAATGACTTCAAACATGAGCAGCACACAATATAGCTGTACCTTTCTTAGTAGTATGACCCAAAAAAGAAATCTGACCTGCATTATCATAACCCGAAGGAGATACAACAATTAGATGAATCGTGAATGGAAAAAAAAATCGATTATGAAATCATCGACAGCATCACCTTGAGAAATCACTAGAACCTCAATCGTATCATTCAATTTCAACACTCAAGGATCACTTGCATTTTCTTGACTCAGCAAACCTTGTCAAAATTTCTCTAATCTTGACATAAGCTAATAATTTGACAAAATAGAGGGCATACGGTTCAGTTACAGTTCAAGCTTTTGCTGCATTTCTAGTTCAATTACAGACATGAGGCTTTTTGATTATCTTCTGTAGTGTATCTGCATCCACCCCTATTTTTCCAATCTCAAAAAAGTGTACAAAACGCGATAAATTCAGAAGATTTTTTGCAAAAACAGGCAGTTCACACAACATTTCTTATTCCCACAGAAAATGAAGGCAACCACCACATAGCAGAAGCAAAACCATACGAATAATACAAGTCAATAGATTTTTTACTGAATACACGCAGCTCACACAACAATTTTTATGCCCCCGAACTAAATAACCATTGCACCACGCATTTCAGGCCATAAATAATCAGAAATTTGTGTTTAACATTCATCTCATCCCACGTTTCATGATGAAACAAAAGGAAGACGAATAAAATCACAGAAAAATGCAAGCAGCCACCAAATAGCAGCAGCAAGACCATACTAACCATACTTAATAACNAAAAAAAAAAAAAAAAAAAAAATAAAGAAAAAAAAGAAACCCAACCTTTTCTAGACGGTGTATCAGAATCCGTTTTTTTCAGTTTATCGGACACGGGTTTTTTCAATCTTGAATCAGCAGATGGAGAATCGGTATTTGAAGCAACTCTTTCCATCTCCTTGATGGGCCTCTTTTTGCTCCTCTGCTGTTGGGTCTGAACCTCTGCTTTTGCTTGTGCGAACCTTCTCTCTATAGCTTCCAATGTCCGTCTCTTTTGTTCCTCCATAGCTGATTTGCCGCGTGTAAACACTATACAGCATTAAACTGCATAAAGGAAAGCTTGGTATGAAAACTCAGAATAGTAAGACCTCAATTTCGAGCTGGTACCTTGAAACCAGGGTGGTTCCGCGGCGGAGACGACGGGGATTTTGAAGCTAGACGGTGCCAACTCGGCCGTGTATGTATATGTATGTATTCTTTTGACTGAAAATTCGTGATTTAGCAGGTCGCTTGTTACCGATCTCAATTCTCAGGGTTTTGTTTAGGGGTTTCCCGGGTAGAGAAGGGTCGGGTCATTTGTGGGCTTTTTTATTGGATTACGAAATAGAGAAAAGTATATTTGTTTGGGCCTCAAAGTGAGTATGTTTAATATGATAGACTAGTTAAATCAATTCTGTTTGAAAAAATTTACACCATCTCTATTTACTTGTACATTTATACAGTTTTTATTTTTAATTTCAAATTGACTAGCTTCTATTGTTTACAAATGATTGATTTGTAATTTATTTTTGTCAATAATTTCTATATTATATTATACTTTGATTATCTCTCGTTTATGAATGATGTATATATGCATATTTTCAAACATACAAGCCATGCTCTAAAAACCAACATAGACAAAAAAAACATTACATTTCACAGCATATACATATTTTAGCGTAAAAAAATATCGGTCAACCGCCTAACGGTTAGACCGTCTCATACAAGAATATGTGTACTACAATGAAGCTAAACAAAATGGAATAATGGGGGTTGAAAAAGGGTTGTACTAACTCTCTTCTCATTATATCTCTTAAGTATTTTCTTAATGACATCATTTGCTGGGATAATCTTATTCTATTGTGTCTTAGGAATCCTGAGATCCCACATCAGAATCTTGGAGCAATCCACAGCTGGAACTCCCTTCAAGTTTGTTTCCTCTTCAAGAACTTCTTTCCTCACAAATCTGAGTGAATCCTGCCAAAATATATATATATAAAAATACAAGCAAACAAATTAACATTTTGTATTTTTGTAGCAAGTAATTAAGTGGCAGTTGTGCTTAACTAGCATTTTTCAAATCATTTGCATAACATAAGTTTCATATTTAATATTTCCATGATTCTTAAAAAGACTTGACAAGGTGTAATTTCATACTTTGTTTTCAATTGAATCATTTGAAATTAATGATCTATATCTACTTTTACCTTTCTATGTGGATTTAGCTACATATTGGCCAAAAAAAATTTTGTACAAACACTTGTTTAAGTCTA